TGCCATCTTGGCTATGGTCACAAACACAGGTCATGCACCTGGGAGCTAAGGGCTTTGCCACGAGACTGCATTGCCTCGTAGATCAGCTATACATACATGACCCCAGATCTGCTGCCCAGGCCAATCCCCTCTGAGTTCCTGGTTGGCGGCACCAGCACCCTCATCATCCACACTGAGACATTTCCAGGCACACCAAATACTGCGTGTCCAGCAGCGAGCTCATGGCCTCTCTGGTCTCTTGCTCCTGTCTCTCCAGCAGCATCTCCATCTGGCCAAGGCTGGAAACTCAGCCCATGCTCCTCCCTCAACGTCCTTCAGACCTAATCTTGTTGGTGGAGAAGGGAATGATGGCCCCCACACATATCCAAGTGCTGATCCCGGAACCTCAGAATGTGTCATCTGACATGGCAAACGGGAAAAGACCCTGAGATGGAGATGCTCCTGGATCACCTGGGCCACCTCAGCCACAAAGGCCCTCCCGAGAGGGAAGCAGAGGCCAGAGTCAGGGAAGGGGATGGGGTGGTAGAAGCAGAGGCGAGAGAGAGGAAGACGCGCCACTGCTGGCCTTAACGTGGAGGGGGCCAAGGAACGTTGGCAGCCTCTAGAAGCTGCAGAGGCAGGGAATGGAGTCTCCTCTAGACTCCTAGAGGGAACACAGCCCTGCCACAGCTTGATTTTAGAACTTCTGACTTCAGGACCTTCTGTGTGATTGTAAGCTCCTGAGTCTGTGGCTGTTCGTTTCAGCAGCTGTGAGGAACTTACACCACGGTGTGGTGGCTAAGCACGTGGTCTCTGCATGGGCTGAGTTCGAAATACCCATCGCAGGCTTGCGAAGGTTGAAAGCATTGTTCCGGGGAAGTGCCCAGAGCTGGGCCCAGCCATGGTAGGCTCTGCACAGTGCGAGTGCTTCAGTCACAGGTGCTACAGTCGCGGCTGCTATTCCTACTAACAGCCCCCTGAGCGCGTCCAGGTCCCCTCCTGGCTCCCTTGCTGTCTGCCGGTGCAGGCTGGGCTCCCTCGCACTTCCTGATGGGTTCCCTGCAAAGCTGGCAGGTCCTGGCGTGTGGCTGCCTTCTCCCTGCCTGTCTTGCAGGGATTCCGTGCCCTCAGAGTGAAGGCCCTCTCCGGAGGCCCCGCACAGCCTGTCCTCATCCCATGGGGATACTGCCCCCTTTGCCTCCAAACCCTCACTTCATCTGGCCTCCCACATGAGCCGGCCCGGGCTCCTCTAGGCCCACCACCCACCCTCACCACCTCCCTGCCATGGCTTGAGTGTCCCCTCTGAAATTCATGTTGAAATTTAATCCCCCAGACGCAGCGCTGAGAGGTGGAGCCTTTAAAAGGCAGTTAGGTCATGAGGGCAAGGCTGAATCATCACTTGTGGATCCCTAGACTCATGGGAGCGGGGCTGGTGGCTTTCTAAGAAGAAGGAGCAGGACCTGAGCCAGCACGCTCAGCCCCCTCGTCATGCAATGCTCTGCGGAGTCCCCACCAGCAAGAAGGCTGTCACCAGAAGTGGCCGTGCGGCATTGCACTTTTCAAGTCTCCAGAACTATAAGAAATAAATTCCTTTTCGTCATAAATTACCCAGTTTTAAGTATTCTGTCGTGAGCAACACTAAACAGACTAAGACATTCCCTGACAAGCCTGCCTCATGCCTTTCGAAGCCCTCCCAGCCACGCCCAGCCCAGGTTGGGTACCTGTGTAAGGGGCCTGTGCACGCTGAACTTCCCGGGGCTCCTGCATGCTTAGAATTACATGTCCAAGCCAGGCACAGTGGCTCACGCCTGTAATCCCAGCACTTTGGGAGGCTAATGAGGGCAGATCACTTGAGGTCAGGAGTTCAAGACTAGCCTGGCCAAAATGGTGAAACGGTGTTTCTATTAAAAATACAAAATAGCTCGGCTGACTGCAACCTCCGTCTCCTGGGTTCAAGCAATTTTCCTGCCTCAGCCTCCCCAGTAGCTGGGATTACAGGCATGCGCCATCACGCCTGGCTAATTGTTGTATTTTTAGTAGAGATGGGGTTTCACCATATTGGCCAGGCTGGTCTCGAACTCCTGACCTCATGATCTTCCCGCCTCAGCCTCCCAAAATGCTGGGATTACAGGTGTGAGCCACTGCACTCGATATTGTGCCACTGCACTCCAGCCTGGGTGACAGAGCAAGACTCTGTCTCAAAACAACAACAGCAAACAAAATAATAGCCGGGCGTGGTAGTGTGCACCTGTAATCCCAGCTACTCAGGAGGCTGAGGCAGGAGAATCGCTTGAGCCCGGAAGCAGAGGTTCCAGTGAGGCGAGATCTCGCCACTGCACTCCAGCCTGGGCGGCAGAGTGAGACTTCATCTTAAAAAAAAATATGTCCAGTGTTTGGCCACCTGGATTGCAAGTCCCACACAGTCACAGGCCATGGTGTTCCCCATGGGGGAGGGAACACCAGGTTCCTCGAGTGTCAGTGTGTAGCCTGTTGTCCCTGTGCTGGACCTGCTTGGTAACTATTTGAGTGGGTGAGTGAATGACCCTAAGATCCTTCCCACACGTTTCTTCAGTGGACACTGGAGAAAGCAGCACGGGGACACCCTCTCCTCTGCACAGATGCCTGTGGCAGGGAGGGCCTGGTGGAGAGTGAGGTGACAGCTTCTCCTTCTCCCTCCCTTGGGGTGTCTCTGCCCTCATACTCGCTCTCCAGCCCCCACCTACACCTCCATGGATGGTGACCCATGATCCGGACCGGCTCTGGGGAGTTTTCTAGAAGGAAAGTGATCCTGGCATTGTTGGGGATACCTCCTGGTCCCTGTCTCCCTTCATGGAGAGGGCAGGTGTCCCGGGCAGACAGAAGACCCTGGAATCCATCCGTGGGAAGGAATGCCCCCTTCCAGCCCTGTTCCCACGCGGTGCTCAGCCTTTCCTGCTTCTTCATGTAGCCGAGGGACGAGGTCCGTGAGGGGCTGCCCTCTGGACACCTGGCTCTCTCAGGAGCCTTTGAAAATCAGAGGTTTCTCTCACAGTGTCTGCATTGCAATGGAAGTCATTTGAGACGTGGAGTTACCCTAGAGACATGAGGGGAGTCTCTCGGTTGCACCTGCTCATTCTGCCAGGCGCACTGGGTTTAAACAGGAGGAAGAAATCGTTTCTGACTTTGTAGACGCTGCCCGCGTAGCATGGTTTTAGGCTCTGCTCATGATCACTGGTCAGGGAGGGCTGTGACCAGCCAGGGAGGGGCAGGTAGGTGGCTGGCAGCATGCAGAGGTTATCAGTTAAGCAAGGCCGGACCTGGTCAGTGAGTGATGAGAAAGCTGAGAAGCTTCTTGCTCCTGAGCTAAGAAGCCTCTTGCTGCTAAGCTAAGAAGCCTCTTGCTCCTAAGCTAAGAAGGTGGTGTGAGGCCAGTCAGGGTACAGGGCTGGCTGCCTGCCTGGGGCAACTTCCAGGTGGCTCTCCCTCCCATCTGTGTGGTCTCTGCTTCTAGTGCCTTTCACTTACCTGAGGACACACACTGGGGACACAGGCACCTTCCCCATTCAGAGCCAGGCAGCCCCCACACCCCACCAAACCTGTCTTTGTCCAAGGTACTTGCAACCTGGCCGCGTCCTCTGCTCCAGTTTCTGCCGGGACCCCTATTCTGCCCCTCGTCAGGCCTAAATGGGACCCTCGAGGAAGGGAGGAGACCCCTGGCTCCCTCCTTGAAGGGAGATGGACCCCGTCCTCCTCCAGGCTCCCCGACAGCCCCTCTGATGGGGTGTCCTGGGGCTTCCAGAGCAGTACCACAAACTTAGGTGGCTAAAAGCAACAGAAAGTTGTTCTCTCACAGCTCTGGAGGTCGGAAGCCCCAAGTCAAGGTGTGGGCAGGTCTAGTTCCTCCTGAGGCTGAGGGGAGTCTGTTCCAGGGCTCCCTCCTGGCTTTGGTGGCTGCTGGCATCCTCAGCACCCCTTGGCTTGTGGATGCATCACTCCCGTCTCTGCTCCGTCCTCACATGGGCTTCCTTCCCTTCCACATCCTGGTCCTCCTCCTCTATCTTGTAAGGATACTCGTCATTGGATTTGGGGCCTGCTCTAATCAAGGATGATCTATTCTCAGGCTCCTTACCTCATATCTGCAAAGACCCCTATTCCAGATAAGACCACAAGCACTGGTGCCAGGGCTGGGACTCGGACAGATGTTTGAGAGGGACACAGGTCAGACCCCTCTGCCATCAAATGCCTCTGAACAGGAAGACAGGACACTGTCCTAGGGAAGGCTGGGGCAGGGCGAGCAAGCTGGGTGGTTGGGGGACCTGGGGGCAGCTCTGCCCCGCACGGGCTGGGGCTGAGGATTCTCCATGTAGGAATTCCCTTGGCAAGACCATGATGCCACCCAGATTCCTCCCTCACCTGCCCACTGCCCCCGGAGAGCACAGTGCACCACTGATGCTGACCGTTCCTCGGGTCATCTCCTCGCTTAAAAAATCCTTGAAGCTTGGAGCACTTTGGGGTCTTGGGGGGAGGGGGGCGCCCTGTGACTCCCGGTCCTCTTGGCCTGCTGCTCTGTCTGCTGTCATGGGACTAATTTTCTTTAGGGATTAATCTCCAGTTCCTGGGGATGCTCTTTTTAAATAAGCTCTGTTTCCTAGCATGAAAGATTTCGTGTGGATTTTTTTAAACAAACACAATAATAATTAATTCAAGGTCTAAGAACAAAGCGAGGTCTGGAACACGGCCTCTCCGCGTCCTGACTATAGCGTGACGCTGACCAGCCTGGACGCAGGCCGTAGAAGGCTCCCTGAGCTGCTGGGAAGGGGCTCTCGGAAACCACCTCAGGGCAGGGGTCCTGGGCTGCCAGGCTCCCTCCCATGATTGGAGAACCATTTTGACAGTCCAGGTAGGCACGGCACTTTGGAGGCCAAACAGCCTGGCAGCTGGGGAAGCACGGGCACCTGTGGATGCAGCCTCACCTTGCATTTCTCTTTCTCTTGGATGGAGTCTGTGTCTCCTCACTCCTGTCCCCTCTTGTCTGTTTCCAGGATGCCTCCTCCTCGGCAGGATCTACCCCCACAGCTGTCCCGCGAGCTGCCTCGGTGTCTGGAGAGCAGGGCACGCCTCCCAAGGTCCAGCTGCCCCTCAACGTGTGAGCTGCCCTTTGTGTCTGTTGGGGTCCCGTGCCTGCAGCCCTCCCTCCTGCCTGGGCTGGCCTGTCCACGTGTGGTTTCTGCAGGGTTTTTCCATGTGTTACTAGTTGACCAGTATAGTTATGTGCATCTAATAACACCACTGAAAGGAGAGTGTGGAAGACCAAAGTCTAGCAGTTCCTTTTGATGTTGATGTTTCTAGGACATTTCTTCTAAGCAGGGAGGATATTCAGAGTATTCACAATGCAGGTCCCAGTCAACAGGAGGGGAGCCAGCCGTAGTGTGGAGCAGGCTCTCCATAGCATGGAAAGTCCGAGATTGGGGGGGAGAGGCAGGAGGGAAGCAGGTGCGCAGAGCAGCGGGTAGTCTAGGAGCTTGGGCAGCCAGTAGTCACCAACTGCTTGGAGGTGGTTCTGTGTTTCAGCCTCCATCCCAGGGCCACACCAGCGCATGCCAGCTGCATCTCATCCCCAAATATAACCAGATGAATCAGTGCTAGGAAGTGAGATACTTATCTTGTTTAGAACATCTGCCCAGTTAAATTACAGCTCTTAACAGATAAGTGCAATTTTAAAATTCCCCATTTAAATCATGCTCTGAAGAATTAGACTCCCTTTTGCTCTTGTGTTTGGCAGAGCTCAGCCACTGGAATGACTGTGTTAAGGTGAAGTCTATGAACTTGGCAAACAATATGACAAATACAGAAAGCTCTGTCAATGCAGGCTGGGTCAGAGGTCAGAGGGACACTCAGAACCTGTGTTGTTGCAGAACACGATGTATTTCTTTTTTTTTTTTTTTTTTTTTGAGGTGGAGTCTTGCTGTGTCTCCCAGGCTGGAGTGCAGTGGTGCAGTCTCGGCTCACTGCAAGCTCCATACCCCAGGTTCACGCCATTGTCCTCCCTTAGCCTCCCAAGTAGCTGGGACTACAGGCGCCCGCCACCACGCCTGGCTAATTTTTTGTAATTTTTAGTAGAGACGGGGTTTCACCATGTTAGCCAGGATAGTCTCGATCTCCTGATCTTGTGATCCACCTGACTCGGCCTCACAAAATTCTGGGATTACAGGCGTGAGGCACTGCGCCGGCCGAACAGGATGTATTTCAAGCAAAAAAGTATTTTGAAGAGCAACTTGCCAAGCTTCAAAAGGTCTAGAAGTAGCTCAGCTGCTGGCACACGCTTAGCCACCTCTAAGCCCAGTGGAAACGCCAGCCTTTCTCCAGTGGTCGGCAAGAAAGCTTCCAGTATCCTCCCACTGTGATTAAGCAATGTAATGAAAGGAATTTGAAAGGTGCCTATTTTTTACCTAGCTTCCTGAGCAGGCTACTTCCGGATGCCTTGAGACTGATATTCGAGTTTTCACCAGCACTGGACAAAATAAAATACTCCTTATGCATCTCCTGCCGTGCTCCTAGCTCAGTTCTGGCAGCTTCAGGCAACAAGGAGGCACATGGGAGGGTAGGGGGTGATGGGTTCGCTCCTCTTGAAGAATTGGATGCAGAATGCTATCTGAGGAAAGAAACCTGCGCCCACAGGGGATGGCCCTGATGGAATTTCCCAAACGAGAGGCAGGACGCAGGTCAGGTTGCTGAGGCCATGAGTGCTTCAAGGGCAAAGCCCAAATGGGTTTGTTTTGGAGTCCCATGACCAGCTGAATGCCTGTACACAGGCTCTCAGTAGCTGCCACTTGTTCTATGAGAGCAAAGGCCTCCCCTTCCTGGGTGCAGAGGGCTCCCCAGCGTGAGGCGAGCTCAAGGATTAGCCATCCGAGAAGGCTGCTCTGTCCTGGAGACCCAAAAGGTAACAGTTCCAGGCATGTCGCCCCTCAAGAGTTGTGAATATTCTGGAGGCCTCAACTGTGGACAAACCTCCAGGTCCCGGATGGCTTCTGAATTTGGTGCAGGTGTGGAGGGACCTCTTCTTCACCCAGTTCCCCTGCCCTGGGGGACAAGGTTGCTGGGACCTCTAGCCCTCCACCATCTCCCTCTGGGCTTCTCCCCCAGGGGAGGGTACTTTCCACTCAACTTGAGATTTGGGTAAGAGGGAAGGGAAACTTATGTGTCGGACAACATCCTTCTAAGGATGACAAGGATTTAGGTAGGAATGTGTCTGCAGGTGACACAGCGGCCCTCCATGCAGCAGCTGGATCATGGGCAGCATGACCTGTGACTGGTGATGGTCCGTTCCATGTGTGTTCGTGGCTGTTATACTGAGTAGCAGTCACACGCCAGGTAACATTACATATGTTACAGCAGCATGCATGATGCATTCTGCAAACATGACATCCTTTATTTTATCCCCGGAGAGGAAAAGATCAGACTGACCTCATCAGTTTATGAGGGAGGGGAATTAGCCTGACTGCTCACCTGTCCTCTTCCGCTGTAAGACGCTGGTATTCCCACACGTACCTTACCTGTGGCAGGTACCTGGGGTGGGGGTCTGATCTAACCATTCTTCCCAAAATAGTATCTGTAAGTCACGTTCAGAAGTCTGAAATTGAACATGAGATGTGCTGTCGTTGCAAAAACAACCACAGCAAACAACAGTGCGCTGCTGCCCGGAGAATGATGGCTTGGGGACTCCAGCCAGGGCCCAGGTGGGGCTGATGTGAAAGTCAGCCATGCAATGACTTCAGGAGACCTCGTTCCTGATCTTCGTAATTGCATAGCTTTGACCTCTCCAGGCCACATCATGTGCACTGAAACATGAGCCCTTGAGATTAAGAGGCCTGATCCCGCACAGTTAGCATGTCGATGGCTGGATGATGTTCTTGCCCCTTCTTCCAGCATGTGAAAGGCTTCCATGGCATGGATTCCCTAAGGGCTCAGTTGCCTGGAAACACAAGAAGGGTCTCAGTTTGCTCACCCAGTGCATGGAGGCGACTGTGAGTCTGCAGAGACATCTCTCATTCCTGCACCCCCTTTCCACCCCCTACTGTGTTGAGAATTCCACTGTCTGGCCCTGGGACTTGTCCGCTATTCCTCTGACAGACCTGCTGTGATTTGGGGAAGCAGAAATCTGAGTGTCTGCTCCTAGAGGCCATGCTCCTGGGCACGGCCAACCCACCCAGAGAGTCTCAAGGTTGATGAAACGCTGTGAGTAGGTTGCCCCTGATTCGGAAGGGTTGATTCTCACCTCCACTTCTTCATGGGCATCTTAGAGCCACTGCCTGATGTGAAGAACCAGAGGAGGCAGGGAGAGGGCATAGGGCTACCCTGCAGGAGCCATCCAAGATTTCCCGTCATCACCTACAGCAATGGAGGAGGTGGAGGAGGAGGAAGAAACATGCATCAGACAGACATGCCTGGGTCTGGCTTGATCTGCGTGCCTGCAGTCCGAGAGCAACGTAACTCTTGGCACAGAGCCTTGGTCTGGGACTGCATGTCAGCCTGCCATCAGAGAAGGAAACTTCCACAGTCGATGGGTGCAGTTCATCACCTGCAGGGAAAACCAGGTGCCCTGTGAGGTGCATGACCACCCAGATGGCACCTGAGGGGCCTGGGAGTCCTATCCAGGAGCCCGGAGGAAGACTTAGGGAGAGGAGGGGGTTGGCCTGCAAGAGGGAAAGGGAAGCCCAGGGGAATGGTGGCCAGCAGTTTTCATCCTCCCCTGCTAGGGTGCAGACCAGGGTCCCTGGATCTGGTGGTTGACATTGGTCATGTGAGACATGTTCTCTGTCATGGCAGGGATGACCTCGCAGGCCTTGATGTGATCCGGAGTGGCCTCCTCATGACCTCCCACTGCCATTTGTGCATGTGGTCAAAAGGCCACTAAACCAGCCTCAATAACAACAGTCCCCACATTCTAGGACACAGGAAAAGGACTGCTGACCAAACCATGCCAAGACAAGACAGGGGCACCTTCCACTGCAAATTCAGAGAACAGGCTGGTGCTGCACTCAGCCTGCAATGGACTGGATCAGCGTGAGTTCAAGACAACAGACTTGGTAAAATAAGTCCCTGCCAGGCTTGGAACGAAGGCCTGGAGCAGCAAAATCACTGGGTACTGCTCCCAAGAGGTGTCTTAGAGGCCAGCCATCCAGCCTCCTCTGACAGTGCCCAGCCTTGTGGTCAGCCTGGCCCCATGGTCAGCCCTTCCAGGCATTGGTGGCACCATCCTCAGGATATTACAGACAGATGCGACCAAGAATATGAGAGTGAGCCTGAGAACCACCGGAGGGGTGAGTGCTCTTCATCCCCACCTCTGCCACCTGCACCTCTAGAGAGAGGGCAGAGCTGGGACCCCAAGCAGGTGGAGAGGTGGAGGAGATGCAAGTGGGAAGAGCAGAGAATTTTATTGAGAGAGTCTCTGGATGACATAGAGCCTGGCGGGCAAAGGTCAGAGATGTCTGGGGCCGCTGCAGGGCCGGTTGCAGTGGAAGGAAGGAGATGCAGGCCCAGGTGGTAGCAGCACATCCCCAGCGATACCAGCATTGTCTAGGTTGGATTTCCTGGAGGCAGACCCTGAGATGGGGAGGTTTGTGGGGAGTGCTCTCAGGACACACCTGAGCTGTGGCTGAAGGGAAGCCTCGTTGATCCTCAGGGCTCTGGAGCCAAGACAGCCCTGTGGAGTTTCCCCATTGGAAGTGAGCCAGTGCTGGCTTCAGGCTGCCCTTTGAAGAGGTAGTCATGGGTGATGATGCACCCTGAGGGAAATTCCCAGCACAGCCACCACAGTGAGTGATCAGCCACTCATCGCCCTTCAGAGGCCCGAGGCTGGGCATCCCTGGGCCCTGTCCAGTGGTGGGGCTTCAGCCTCAGAATGCATCTGAAACACAGGCACACCTCATTTCATTGCACTTCATTTTGTTGTGCCTCACAGATACTACATTTTTTTTTTTTTAACAAATGTAAGCTTTGGGGCAACCCAGCATCCACCAAGTCCAGTGGTGCCATTTTTCCAACAGCGTGTGCTCACTTCGAGGCTCTGTGTCCCATTTTGCTAATTCTCATAATATTTCAGACTTTTTCATTACATCTTTATGGTGATGTGATCAGTGGTTT